ATTTGCAAGATTGAATAAGACAAAAACTAATAAAAACTTAGTTCAAATACTACTGGTTTTAGAATAAACCTTCAGAAAATTAAATGATGCATATATATAGTGCCAAACGAGCATGACGGTGATCACCTGCAAGAGCCATGAGTAGAACTCCAAGCTTCCCCACATGCATAGCAGAATTCAAATTTGCACCTACACACACACACACACATATATATATATATATATATGCACAGACAGTCGTGAATATCATGGGTGATTTGATATAATTAAGTTATTTAAAATTTTGATTGAATTCGTACCAAGGTTAATTTGAAAAAAATTGAGTTGAGTTAAATTTTAGTGGAATTTTTAGTTTGTCGTAAAATAACATTTAAAATATAATGATTAAAGTTAATTCGATGTAAAAGTATGAGAGATGTGATTGGAAATGATGGTTAGTTAAAATTAAATATTTTTTGTTTGTTTCTAAGGTGACGACGACAATAATTATTTTATGCTAAATGTAAATATTTTAGCACTGGGATTGATTATAATACTTTTTGGAATTAGAATTTGAGTAGACTTTTTAACCAACCTGATCTTGGATGGTTATTAAACAAGGACTCATTAGTGAAGAGAGAGTTATCTCTTATCGAACAGTAATGATATTGGTAAATAGCTTTAACATTTTGCAAAAGATGAAATATAGTCATTTTTTTTACGAAAGTTAGCCATGTGAAATGACACAATTACCTTTGTTACTAATAGAGTGATTGTGTAGTTTCGCATTGCAAAATGAACTATATTTCTTTGAAATCAACATTGTAGTTGTATATCATTTTGAAAAGTGAAAAAAGGGTAAAAAAAAAAAAGTAGGACTCAAATGATCATATGAAACTAACAGTTAGCTTCATAGTGGAGCCAATCTTCTATATATAACGGTTATGTTTGGTAGACAAATAAACTATTGGTTAGCTTATAAGCTCCTTGTATTCAAATAAGCCTCGTTTGGTAGGACGAGCTTTAAAAAGCTCGAGCTTATTTGATAAGCTTCTTTAGGTAGCTTTTCAAATAAGCTAGTTGAATTTTTATTCCAACTAGCTTATCAGCTAATTTTACCAAACACTTTTATCATATAAACTTAGATTTTCAGCTGTAAGTCATAAGCTATAAGCTTAAAAAATTACTGATAAACCATAAGTTAGCTTATCAGCTATCAACTAGTTTTATCAAACATACCCAACCAGTAAATCATATCATATTATCTGATTACTTAAATAGTACTCCCTCCTATTTTTTTTAAATGTCATTTTGGCATTATCAACTATTAACCAAATAAATGTCGTTTTAGATCTTTTGTACATATTTTTTCATTATTACCTTCATTAGCTAATAAATACATTATGTTTTTTCATATTCATTAAATAAGATTATTATCGACAAAATAGGAGGTAGTACTAATAATTTTATTAATTTATGATTTAGTTGATTATATAGGAAAAATAAGCCTACTTGAGTAATTTCTCCTTAATAACTGCCCCTTCACCTTCTTCACCTCCACAAATTGAGCAAAAACTGAGTAAAAAAAAATGAAAACACTTCACCTGCATTTCATGTGAAGGCACCCGTTCTTCTTTTCGACATAGAACCTGCATTTAGGGCACCTCTGCCACTCTTTCTTCTTCGCCAGCTCGTGCAGCGCCAGATCCTCCGCCTCCCTCTCATCCTCCCCCAGAGCCGAAAACTCGTCGCAACCAATCCCAGAGTGCCACCTCACCTTACACCTCACGCACACCAACCTATTGCAGTACAAACACTCTGCTTTCTCTATATCACCTTCATCATCATCACCTTCCTTCATCACCAGCATTCCCGAGCAGCTCTTGTACGGACAGTAGAATATCTGGGACGGCGGGAAAATCGACTCACAAGCCGCCCGGTCCCACTCGACCAGAACTTCCGGGCCCACGACGGCCCGGCACAAGCCGACCTCGAGCCAGCCCTTGCAGCCCGGGAACGGGCACGGGATGTGGCCGTTGTTGTTGTTGTTGTGGATTGTAGCGTTTTTTACTTTGACGGTCACGTGCTTGGCGATGCAGTCGGTGCAGAATTTGTGGGG